ATATTTTTATGCTCATTAGTCCATAAACCGTAATCAATAAATTCAATTTATGACATCTTTACAAGGTATCAACACAACATTAATATCAAGTCTTTGGACATTAATACTAACTTGCAAGAGATATTGTTTTAGAGATAAACATTGAAAATAAATCATGTCAGTTAACAAGCCCTCTTTGGATTGACTTATTAATCACATGGAACAAAAAAAATATCACAGGTTTATCACCACATATATGTTTATTCGGCCAAATATCAGTCTACCTTTGGGTCAGCTAATACCCTCATTAATAAACACATAAACTATAAATTTTGATAATAGGAACTGACAATCTATCATGTCAATTAATAAGTCTCACTTTGGATTGACTTATTTAATGACATGTAACCTAAAAATTGTCATATATTTATCATCAAACATGTATTTATAGGGCCAAATATTAACCTACCTTTGGGTCGATTAATATCCGAATTAACAAACACATAAACCATAAAATTTAATAATAAACATTGATAATAAATCATGTCAATTAATAAGTCCCTATTTGGATTGACTTATCAATAACATATAACCTTAAAAATTGTCGCACGTTTGTTATTATATATGTGTTTATTCAGCCAAATATCAACCTACCTTTGGGTCGATTGATATTCACATTAATAAACACATAAAACATAATATAATTATTGAATTTATTAATAACTAATAATAATAATAATAATAATAATAATATTAATATGAAAATGATTTCATATATCAAAAAGTGGGTCTTTAATTAAATTGCGTAAACACTATAGTATTCAAATGCAAACACATTGAGGGGACGAATGATTAAAAAATACATTAAATGATGATAGATTTTGTAAACACTCTGTTCTACCAAAAAAAAAAACAAAAGATTAATTGAATCAAAGGGGAATAGCACCGTTGAATACCCACATAATTAAACATAAATTAATATTCTGTTAGACTGTAGAGAGTGGTGCCACACTCTCTCATTTTGCCACATTCCTTTACCACATTCAAGGACTGATATACCATCAAGAGAAAGAAGAGAGATAGAGAGAGGGAGGAAGAGTGAGAGAGAAAGGAGCGCTCCCAAGAAGGCAAGAATGGTCGCACACCTCAAACCGCACTCCCCAAACCGCATAGGAGGCTGTATTTCCCATGCCACATAGGGGCCATGTCATTCTTATCGTACTCCACTACTTCAAGCCTTAGAACATCAAAGGCCCAAACAGTTTCTTTTCAAAAAAACTATCATGAAATTTGAAACAAAAAGACTAGGCGAGTTTAATACTTTAATATCCAAATTTAAACTACCACAAAATTTAAGTTACAAAACATTTATACAAAAGTTTAATATACTTTGATAACGTGGATATCCTTACTGGATCTTGATAAGATAATAACAAAATTGCTACACATTAAAAAAATACTTTATAAATATAAATATATTATCAAAAATATTTTATTTATTTGGTATTTTATTGCTTATCTTAAATGATAGCGAATATCAATATTATCAAAAATAATGATTTTATAACTCCTTCAAATTTCATAGCCATAAATAACATAATCATGCTTTTATATAAACTTAAAACATGCTTAAAGATAAAACTTAAACGAAAATACATTGTCATCATCAAAAAACTTCCGATTACTCTATCGTTGCAAGATATTGATTTGCAAATTTTCTCAAACTTAATATTAACATGCATAAAACAATTTAACATTAAACCTTTAGTGGTCATTTTTGACTAAAGGTTTGTAGTCAATCAAATAAAGTGTACGTAGGGTAGGAAAACGTTGTCAAATATATATACACATTCAAGCAAGATAAATCCGGCAAGAACAAAAAGACTAAACACATATATACGGGTAGGAAAACGTTGTCAAATATATATACACATTCAAGCAAGATAAATCCGGCAAGAACAAAAAGACTAAACACATATATACTGGTATGTTTTAGATCGAAGGTAAGATCCGAAACAAACCTAAAAAATTATAGATATTAAACAATTCAAATATATATTCTAGTAACAGATTCGAGTAGGCCTTGATACCAATTGTTGGTTATTTTGATAACCAAAACATAAACACGGAAACATAAACTTTGGATCTTTAATCTCGAAACTGATTAAAAGAAAACTTAAACATTAAAGAACGATTACCTACCTGATTTCATTATGATATTCGGATCTGAAGAACTAGGGTTGAGTTTTCCAGTTGATCTCAAGAGCTCTCTCTAAAATCCCCCAACAAAACCTAAACGAATTTACATGTGTATTTCGTGTGTCTTGATCTGCTCCTCATCACATGTATATATAGATGGAGATATACCCTAATGTGAAAGATGGAAGAGATCTTGAGAATCTTGAGTCAAACCGGGAACTCAACCCACAAGATAAGTAAATATTCTATGAATCGGTCCATCAACAATTTATATTCTTACCATAATAACCGGATTTAATGATAACATCACATATATATGATCTGGTCCCATAACTATCTAACAATGCTATCTAAAACATATATATATATATATATATATATATATATATATATATATATATATATATAAAACACCAAACTATTTATAAAAAATATCACTCATTTTTTCAATATATAACTTTAAACTATCATTCAAAAATTATATTGGGTTATTTTTTAATGGGTAGTTAAATATTTGGATTATTGAGATATAAAAGATAAACTTTAAAAGTTTTGATTTATATTAATCTTTTTACCAAAAAAAATAAGGTAGGTCATTTATTAAATTTTAGATAGTATACAAATAAATTATATATATATATATATATATATATATATATATATATATAT